TTGGTGAACCACCATTGTTTGTGTGAAGTAGAGTGACTTAGTTCTTGTATGTGTACATCGTATTTTCCATCGGTTCACCTGCAGTTTCAGGTGGACCAAGATTTCTCGTCCATCTACTTAACCTTTTCAGTGTACTCACACATTTCACATGAACCCAAATTCCATTTGTTTCAAAATCATCTAGTTCTTTCTTGAAACTCATTAAAAACTTTCTGTTTCTCAACCCTTCCATTAAAAAAAACATTTGTCTTGCAAGTTGAATTTTTGTTGCCCTTAACCACCTGAACTACTAGCTCGTACAATTCTAATGCTGTATAGTAGATATGTCTGTACAAGAAGTTATACATCCATCAATCTTCAGTTACAATTGAAGATCTTAAGCTGTGTTCACTGTGGTGGTGTTTCCATCTCTCCTTCTTGGACATCACTGACCTGAGATACAAGCCCCACAAAAACTCCAATAGTTGGATTTCTGCAGGATTGAACAGCTAAAGCAGAATTGTACATGAGTACATTTGGTGCTATCTTCCTTGTCATTTTATTTAAATGGAACATACACACAAAATTCCTTTCCTCCCTTCCTCACCCACTGTCCCTCAAGATCCTATTTGAATTGGTGCAGTTTGGAATGACTTGCCACTGTTAGTTTCAGCAAACTGTTGTTCCTACAATTTTCTCGAGAGAAGAAATGGATGGTATAATTAGTTTTATTTTTAAAAAGGGAGGATGGTATAATTGTTTAGGGGTTGCTGTCAATTTTTTTAAGAGAGCACAATACATTGGTTTATCTATCCTTGTAGACAGACAGACATCCTACCTTATTTCCACACTTGAATTTGGTAGGAATATTAAATGGCAAATAAGATAAATTATTAGCTTAGTTGGTCAGATGAGAAGACAAAACAACTGAACTTATATTAATGAAGAGTAAGCTGAAGATAGATCGGGGTGGGGGGGAATACATTTAAAAGGCTGAAATGATTTCAGTACCTTCCCTGGTAAAACAAATATACTTTGGGAATTCAAGATGAAATTAGATGCTACACAGAGTGAATTTAAATCATGGAGGAATTAACTTCATGAACCGAATGAATTTTTAAAAACTTTCTTCCCCCCCCCACACCCCGCCCACCATTCATCTTTGCAGTCAAGCTCAAAACAGCTTTCCTGATCCACTTAGTACTACTGGATTACTTTCCTGACCCACCATTAGAAGCAGTTTTGATAAATTTAGACACAATTGATCACATAGGTGGTGGAAGGCAGTTCCACTCAATAAACAATACTTCAAGGGTTCATTTTAGCAATGATCACTTTTTCTTGGTTGATATCTACTTCTTAAAACTTACAAGAAAAATACATTTCAACAATTTCTCTTACTTTGCCTCTTTTGTGAATGTAAAGGGTTAAATCAAAAAGCAGGTCTGGAATGTCCCATGGCATTGTAAAGCAAGTTGCACATTAGGGTGTACTCTATACAGATCAAATATAAATAAGTTTGTAGGGGATATTAAATATCTGCATTCTAAATAGCAAAACTACTTATTCATTACTAAATCCCATATTCCCCTAATGATTAAAGTCTAGATCAAGTGGGAAAAATGTAACATCTCAAATTTCTAACCAAATTGAGATTTTTCTCTTCTGGTAGGGCTATGTGTTTAAATGTTAAGCTGAAACCAGAAATACAAGGTACACCAACGTAATTTGCAAGACTTCCTTTTCAGAAGGAATTTATCTACTCAGGACTGACAAGGCAGTCCCAAGATCAGTAATTTGTGAAGAAGATTACAGGTATCACACTGGAGATGTCATTATAAGGCTGCACAATAAATAATATTCTATTCAAGATACAGCTGTATTAGCAGTAACATGGTAGCAAAAGGGAACACAGTTAATACCAAGCTTTTTCTCATTAAAAGAAAAAGTTACTGTTTTCACAATCTGTTACATTTGTTCATATCTTCTGAATTTTAAATATTTAGTACAACAACATTTTTTCTGATTTCCTAATATTTTTCAGAACTCACCTATTTTTGTTTTAAGGTCACCAATTACTTGCTGTTACTCTGGTATGCTTCGCCTACTCTTCCCCCCTCTGATTCCCATCACCAATTACTTTTGAGCTTTATTTCAGCTTCTCTTCCTACGTCCTTGATAGAAAGAAAGGCGCCGACAAATGGGTCTATGAAACAAATGCCACCATTCAAATCGATACCTAATCTGGATAGATGCCCAACAGAAGTCAAAAGATGTCCTCTGTTGGACATCTGTCCTTGATGGACAAGGTGGGAAAATTACACTCAAGGGGGATTTGCAGAGCTAATAGAACACAGAAAACAGCACTGGAAGAGGCCCTTCGATTGCACAGGTCTTTTAGCAGTTAGATTGACAATATCAGTTTATTTGCTTCACTGCCTTTCTTCAACACCATCCCAATCCTACTCATTGCACCTCAGGAAGAATATACTGGTTTTAGAGGGTGCGCGATGTAGATTCACCAGAATGCTACCAGAGATAAAAGGGTTAAATTATGAGGACAGGTTGCATACAATGGGCATTTATTCCTTTGACTGTTGAAAATAAAAGGCTTTCTAATTAAAGTAGCTATGATAAGATATAGGGGCAGAATTAGGCCATTCGGCCCATTGAAGTCTGCTCCGCTATTCGATCATGGCTGATATGCTCTTCACTCCCATTTTCCTGCCTTCTCCCCATAACCCTTCAACCCATTACCAATTAAAAATTTGTCTAACTTCTCCTTAAATTTACTCACTGTCCCAGCATCCACTGCACTTTGGGTTAGCAAATTCCACAGATTCACAACCCTTTGGGAGAAGCAGTTTCTCCTCAGCTCTGTTTTAAATTTGCTACCCTTTATCCTAAGACTATGACCTCTCATCCTAGAATGCCCCACAAGAGGGAGCATCTGCCCCACAACTATTTTATCTATACCTTATATCATCTTCAATACCTCAATTTGATCTCTCCTCATTCTTCTAAATTCCACAGAGTTAAGATCTAAACTGTTCAATCTCTCTTCATTCAACAAACCCCTCATCTCTGGGATCAATCTCGTGAGCCTCCTCTAAAGTGCCTCCAAATGCCACTACATCTTTCCTCAAATAAGGGGACCAAAACTGTGCACAATACTCCAGATGGGATCTCACCAATGCCTTGTATAGTTGCAACAATACTTCCTTACATTTATATTCTATTCCTTTAGCTACAAAAGCCAACATTCCATTTGCTTTCTTTATTGTCCTGCCGTACTTGCATGCTAGTTTTCTCTGACTCATGAACAAGGACACCTCTGCATTGGAGCACCCCGAAGTCTCTCTCTATTTAGATAACAGGTCGCCTTCGCATTTTTCCGACCAAAATGCATGACCTCACATTTATCCACGTTAAACTCCATTTGCCGCATTTTGGCCTCTCCTAACCTGTCTATATCCATTTGTCAGGTTCTTATTTCCTCATTGCAATTTACCGTCCCACCTATTTTTGTGTGGTCCGCAAATTTGGCTATAGAGCCTTCTATTTCTGTATTTAAGTTGTTAATGTGGATTGTAAATAGCTGGAGTCCAAGGACCAAACCCTGTGGCACCCCATTAGTTACTTCTTGCCTTCCAGAAAAAAAATTTATCCTGACCCTCTGTCTTCTGTGCATCAGCCAGTCATCTATACAAGCTAATAAATTACCCCTCATCCCACATGATTCAAACTTGTCAATTAACCTTTGGTGTGGCACCTTATCAAACACCTTCTGGAAGTCCAGATATATTTCTGCTACAGGATCCTCATTATCCACTGAGCTTGTTACATCTTCAAAGAACTCTAGCAAATTAGCCAAACATGATTTGCCCTTCATAAAGCCATGCTGAATCTGACTGATAGTGTTTTGGCTTTCCGAATGTCCAGATATTGCTTTCTTGATAAATTGAATCTAACACCTTGCCAACAACAGATGTTAAACTAATTGGTCTGTAATTTCCCACATATTGCCTCCCTCCCTTTTTGAATGAGGGCATTACATCAGCATTTTACCAATCCACTGGAACCTTTCCCGTGTCCAGGGAATTTTGGAATATTGTAACCAATGGATCCATTATCTCCACCACCACTTCCTTTAATAGTCTAGGATTTAGGCCATCAGGCCCGGGGGACTTGTCTGCCCTCAATCCTAATCGTTTGCTGAGTACCTTTTCCCTCTCAATGTTGATTGTTCTAAGTTCTACCCTTTCTATTGCCTCTGACTTGCCCGTTGCGATAGGAATGGTACTATTGTCGTCTCCTGTGAAAACTGAGGCAAAGTACTGATTTAGCACCTCTGCCATTTCACAATATTAACTCTCTGGCTTCATCTTCCAAGGGACCAATACTCACCTTAGCGATTCTCTTCTCTTTTATATACCTATAGAAGCTTTTGCTATCTTTTACGATTTTTTGTGCTAGTTTTCTTTTCGTAATTTACCTAAGCTCTTTTTATTAATTTTTCAGTATCCCTTTGTTTATATTTGAAAGTTTGCCAATCCTTCTGCCTGCCACTGGCCTTTGCAATATGGTATACTTTAGTTTTTGACTTAATATTGTCCTTGACCTCCTTGTTTGGCATGGATGTTTTTTTAATCCCTTTATGATTATTGGTTTTGACAGACAAAGTAGAGAGGTATTGTTTCCTCTGGTAGGGGAGTCTAGAACAGAAGGGAATTAAATTAGTGAGCCCTTTCAAAGGTGAAGTCAGGAATCCCATTTCACACAAACGATGTGAAAATTTAATATTTTCTTTCCCAAAAACTGCTGAAGCAAGGTCAAAGTAAAATTTCAAAACTGAGATTGATAGATTTCGGTCAGGCCAAAACATGGAACAAGGTAAATAGAGTTAAGATACACATCAGTTATGATCTGATTGAACAATGAAATAGAGCAAGGAGCTTTTGATGTCATCCAGTTCCTATTTTCCTAAAGGACACTATTGACATGTAGACCATTATACTCACACCACTCCTGCGTGATGTCATAGCCACAACTGGAGACCATTGATTAGTGCGAGGATTAAACCTCTCAGCACTGCTCAACTCTGTGGTATCATCTCTTCCTCCAACTGCATAGATCATGTCTTGGTAAACAGAGCACCCCAGGTGTTTCCGACGCGTTCCCATCGGCGCAATAGTATGCCAACGGTTTTCTTGTGGGCTGTAGCGTTCAACTGCAGGCAGACAAATCATAGGTAATGCTGATCAGCTGCTGTGTTATTCAGGTGCCCTAGACCTAGCTTTAGGTGCTCGCACCACCCATATACATTTCAAAATAATTGGAAACCTGAATTTCATCTTCTTGGGGAAACCGTTATTACAATTGCAACACCTTCTTTAAATCTGTCAGAAGAGCTGAATTAATAAGATGGCCAGTTCCCAGACCTATGACAATACTTCTCTGTACTCTGGCACAAAGATAATGGCATAAGGCACTCTGAATGCCAATTTTCATCTTACCACTCGTGCAGAATGGACTGACTTCAGTTTAATGGTGACAGCATTCTCAACTTCCAAGATGAAATGAGGACCAAACTGGCTGCTGCATGATTTGCTGAGTATTTCCAGCATTTTGTTTTATTTCAGATTTCCTGCATCGACAGCAATTTGCTGTTCAACAAATTATACTTAGTCTGAAAAGTTTTGATAAAAGAACATATTTCAATGACTTTCTGATGATATTAACCTGTTTCAATCTCTTACTGCATGTCCTCATGCACACAGATAGCAATCACTTTAGTTCATTAACAGTATAATTCATCCTTCCACACAGAAATCAAGCATACCTGTATTTAGGGGAGAGGTACCATCAGATCCACCAACAGCATAAAGAAATCCACCTAACACAGCAACTGCCACACCTAACCGTCTGGTACTCATTGAAGCCACACGTGCCCACTTATTCTCTTTTGGATCAAACCTAGAATGGAAATATTTTTGTCCTTATCACTTCATGCAAAAATCACACAAAATAAAAATCGAATTTCCAACCATCTGCACTGAAAGATTTCTTGCCATATTGAAGTATCAGTTGAATCAAATAGCCAGCTGGCCATTGTCAAATTTATCCTTGGACTTGAGTGTTACAAATCATGCAGGCAAAGATAGTTGGGGAAAAGGCATAACTCAATGAAGAACAATTTAAAGGAGTGTTCGGGCATTGAATTAAGGCATTCCTGATTAGTTGTCGTCTCTTTGAAATTCAAAACACTGATTCTAAAAGGTTTTTGAGATGATTTGTAGCTCAAGTTGTTGATGCGGTTGTTGACTTGCTCACCAAGCTGGTAAGTATGTTCGCAAACGTTTCATCACCATGCTAGGTAACATCATCAGCGCGCCTCCGGTGAAGCTTTAATGTTCTATCCCATTTCGACACTCCACCGGAGGCGCACTGATGATGTTACCAGCATGGTGATGAAACGTTTGCAAACAAACTGATCAGTTCGGTGAGCAAGTCAACAACCGCACTGATTCTAAAACCTGCAGTGGATTCACATATTCTTAGAAAACTGGACAGCTAATGTATAAAACTGCACAATAATATAACTTAACATTGATTTTTTTTATGATCAACTTGACTAGGTCAAGCCACAACAGAATTTCATAAAGGGGCTCAGAGTACAAAACGGCTTGTAATATACTTACTATCGTATATTCATCATAAATTCTTTACTGAACAAAGCAGCCATTGCTACAATACATGTTGAATAAGACAGTATTACATTCTACTCTTGCCTTAGAAGAATGTTTCTAAAGTTATTATTTGTACACAAGACTCTGTAGTCAGTCTGGTGACAACACTCAATGGTATATCAACTTGATGCACTACAGACTGATCAGTAAGAGAAATTGCCCATGAAACAAGGAAGCAAATAAATTCACTCTACAAGTCAATTCAAGCAACTCACTCTCATGACCCTAACAGCATCAGTCACAGAGCCCAGCTACAGTCCTCCTCAGAGTCAATCACCAAGCAGGACCGATAGAAACCTTGGAATTTCTTTTTTGCAAGGTGACTGGGGCTGAGAGAGGAGGAGGAGGAGAGAGACTGATGGACAGATGGAAAATAGTGCATGGGAAAAGAAAGCATTTTTCTTTTTTTATGTAACTTGTTCATCTTGGGGATGCAAAACATCATGATGCATTACTGAAGTAATACATTTCATATTTTGCAATTAAAATTACTAAACTGAATACTCATGCTAAACTTTGCTTACATCCAACTACCCAACAACACAGGATCTAGGAGCTGAAAGGGAGCAGCAAAAAACACACATGCACATCTTAGCAACACTCAATGCCTATATCATGAGCGTGCTTACAAAAGTAAGCGTTTTCAGTTTTCAAAAAAAGTTTCCCATGTGGAGTACTAATTTCAATACAGGCAACACTGTACCAGACAGCCAGTAAACATGTGAACAGCTGAAATTCACAGTTCCCCTCACGATTTGTTCTTGCGTTGGTTGGGAAACCATGCATCACGCTTCTATAACTTTACAATCTAACCAGGAACGGGGCATGAGAACAATACAGAATCAGTCCCTGATTAATAAACATCTTGCATCTACTTTGTTCCTTCCCCAATAGTCTTGTGACAGCAGATCCCATTGAGAGGAATCACGAATCCACACATGTGCCCTACCATTCCATAAGGCAGCATGTTGGCAGGCCAACTTTGTATGTCACTTACTGCATTAAACGATTACTGCTATCAGATCACATTAGGAAGAAACACTCTACGAGTTTACCTTTCCACAATGTTCAGACAAGAGACGCCATCCTGGCCACCTACAGCATACAGATACCCTCCCAACACTGCCACGCCAACACTGGTCCGACATGTACTGGTGGGAGCCACGTCGCTACTCCATTGGTTGGTCTTTGGATCATATCTAAAAGTTTAATTATTAAAAAATTAAAAAGATAGGCCTATTTTCAGAGCGTATGCAGCAATAACTACACTGCGAGTGGAGTGTGTACTCTAAGATTTATTTCCCCCTTATAATCATTTCTAAAGCCGTCAATATAAATCTCGGTTTCAAAATATTAAGCAAAAATGAAAGCTACCTTAAAGAATAATTTTATTCCCAGGTTTTATTAAATAGCAAGAGAAAAAAAGAAATTCAAGGATAATTGTTGTTGACCAACATTTTTAGTAGAAAATGATACTTGCTCCTCAGAGTTTTTATGCAATTCATTACGCTTGAGCATAAACAGCATGGGTGAATAATAGTATTTCACATATTGTCTTCATGTGTAGATCTTGCTGATAAAGCCAAGAACGACAGTTTTTCCACAAGAATGAACCCAGATGTGCAACCCATGGAAAATAACTCACATAAAATTCAACAGTTCACACATGTTGTTTTGTACTTGAGCAGTAGAGATACAGAAATACTGGAACAAAATGCAAAGTTCAACTGTACTTAAGAAAAACAACAGCTGGGTGGAAATCCGATAAAGCATTAAGGTAGAATTAGCAAAAGACAGATAAGAGACAGACAGGCAGACAAGAAAGCAGGCATTATTCACTTCAAGTTTATCATTAGGTGCCATTGAAGCACAAAGATCCATTTAAAAAGTGGAATCTAACAGGCATACTGCTCTTGCATGGGGAAATTTTAAAAGTAGAAAATTAAGAACAGACTTATTACAGTTAGCAGTCACACCTAACAAACTTATTTAGGAGAGAAATTAACTTCCTGCATAGCATTAAGCAAAATATCCAGCCAGTAGTAATAATCTAATTTACAAGATTGCTTGCTAATACAAGGAAAAAAATGTACTGTGAGACAGCCTTTGTGGTGCAGTGGTAGTGTTTCTACCTCAGGGCTAGGAGGCCTATTCTCAAGATGCAACTGCTCCATAGGTGGGTAATAACATCATTGAATAGGCTGATCTTAAAAAAATGTACAGTGCAATTGCAGGACCACACACACAACGTACCTCTCCACACTGTTAAGATATGATGAGCCATCATGTCCACCCACTGCATAAAGGAGATCATCCAACACACTGACCCCTACGCCACACCGTCGTTTGCTCATGGAGGCTACCATCCGCCACTCATTGGTCTGGGGGTCATAGCGCTCAACACTGGAAATTGCATCTCCACTGCACCAACCTCCAACTAAACAAGAGTTCATAAGTGAATGCTTGGCTGGAAAAATTATTGAATCATCTGAAAGAACAGCTCACCATCAAATGTCTACATCTATGCCTTTTTGTAAGTGATCAACTACAGATTACAAATTACGATATTCTCATGTAGCATTTTCTAAAAAGCAGACAAGTAAGACAGCAGAGTGACCATACTCGCATGTAAAATAGTGGGAAAGATGGTGAACAAGCACATGTTTGACAGTTCATGAGATGCGTTTTATCTCACCTTTCAATTATTTATGCAGTCCTCAAGCTGGCAAGATGATGCTTAAAACGTGAACACACAAGCAATCTCGTACTACAAATAATACGAAGCTCGGTCAACAAATCTTTATAACTCAATGCATTCCTCGATGAGCAGAAACAGGAGTAAGCCATTCAGCCCATCAAGCCTGCTCCTTCACTCAATTAGATTGTGGCTGATCATCTATCTCAATGCCCCATGTCATTTAATGAGCCTGGCCTCCAAAACTGTACTGATTTCCATCTTGAACATGCTCAATGATTAAACTTCCATTAGGATACAGAATTCCAAAGATTCACCATCCTCTGAGTGTAGAAATTCCTTCTCATCTCTGTCTTAAATGGCCCACCGCCTATTTTAAGATTATGCCCCATGATTTTAGACTCACCGGCCAGGGGAAACATCCCTATCTACAGCCACCTTATCACATCCTGCAAGAATTTTCTCAATCTGAATTCGATCACCTCTCATTCTTCAAACCCTATTGAGAATACAGGCCCAGTTTCGTCAATTCCTCCTCATAAAACAATCTGGTCATCTCAGGGATTAGCCTGAACCTTGGTTGCACTCCGTCTATGGCAAGTATAACCCTTCTTTGAAACGGAGGCCAAAAACTTGTACACCAGGTACAGTCTCATTATTGGACTACACAACTTCAGAAAGACTTCTTTATTCATGAACTCAAAGCCCTTCGTAATTAAGGCCCACATATCATATACCTTCCTACTGTTTGCTAGCTTTTTGCAACTCATGAACAAAGACATTCAGGTCATTTTGGACATCAACAATTCCCTACCACACACCAATAAACAATGTCTTGTTGAGTTCAGTGGATAAATTCATATTGATTCACACACGCAAGATTCACACACATTCCGATATATTCTTGTATATATGTCCTAGTTTGCTCGACACCTCTTTGCAAATTCCTCATAAATTCCCAACTAGTATTGTGTCATCAGTAAATTTGGAAACTACAATTCATCCACACATCATATTCTAACATCTTCCTTCAGTCATACAGGTCTGAAGTTCTCCATTCTTCCTCTCCCTCCATTTGTAAATAGTGGGGTTGCATTTGCTATTTTCTAGTCTGTAGGAACCTTTCTAGAATCTATATAATTTTGAAAGATAATCACCATTGCACCTATCTCTACAGCCATCACCCTAAACAGTCTTGAAATATAGGTTATCTGGTCCAGAGGATTTTTCAATGTTCGATTCAATTAAACTTTGTAAGCACTATTTCTTTACTCATTTTAATTTCTTGCGGTTCCTCAGTTTCACAGTTTCTTTGGCATCCTGGTATTCTGGAAGATTTTCTGAATGTTCTACCATGAAGACAGACACAACATAATGGTCGATTTTCTCCAACATTCGTCCATTCTCCATTATAAATTCTGTCTCCATACAGTGCACCCACATTTTCCCTATCCACTTTTTTCTCTTTCTACAGACCTAAAGAAGGTTTTACAATCCACCTTTATGTTTCCAGCTTGCACGCATTCTCTTTTCCCTTTCTCTATCAGTTTCTTAGTCATCCTTCCTTCAAATTACCTTCCAATTCTGAGGCTTAACATCTTTATGTCAAAGGTATGAGCCTATTCCTTTGATCTAACACAACCTCTAACCTACTTTGTTAGCCTTGTTGATTTAACCATCAACACTGGGTGTCTGTGTCTTAGAAGAATATTTACTTGTTATAGACTAGTAGTACTTACAGAGTTATGTAGCACAGGAACAGACTCTTCGGTCCAACTTGTCCATGCTGACCAGACATCCCAATCTGACCTAGTCCCATTTGCCAGCACTTGGCCCATATCCCTCTAAACCCTTCCCATTCATAAATCCATCCAGGTGCCTTCTAAATGTTATAATTGTACCCGCCTCCACCACTTCCTCTGAAAGCTCGTTCAAAACCCACATCACCCTGTGTGTGAAAAAGTTATCCCTCAGATCCTTTTTAAATCTTTCCCCACCCTCCTTAAACCTATGCCCTTTAGTTTTGGCCTCCCCCACCCTAGGAAAAAGACCTTGGCTGTTCACCATCTCCATGCCCCTCACGATTTTATAAACTTCCATAAGGGCATCCCTCACCCTCCGATGCTCCAGTGAAAACGCCCGACCCTACTCAGCCTCTCCCTATAACTCAAACTCTCCAGTCCCAGCAACATCCTTGTTAATCTCTTTTACACCTACCCAAATTTAACAACATTCTTTAAGGTTTTGGAGTAGATTTGTAGCTCGGGTTGTGGGTGTTGAGGTTGGTTGGCTCACTGAGCTGGTTTCTTGTTCCGCAGACGCTTCGTTACCATGCTGGGTAACATCCTCAGTGCAGCCTCCAATGAAGTGTTGGTGTATTTTCCCGCCTGGTTTTTAAACTCTGGAGTCCGTTGAGATGGATTGCCTCACTTCCGGTTTTCCTTCGTAGTGGAATGTATATGGGGATTTGTAGCATCCTTCCCAGAGAAGAATTGTAGACCAGAATTGTACACAGTATTCTAAAAATGGCCGCTCCAATGTCCTGTACAGCCTCAACATGACGTCTCAACTCTTATACTCAATGTTCTGACCAATGAAGACAAGCGTGCGAAACGCCTTCTTTACCGTGCTGTCTACCTGCAACTCTACTTTCAAGGAACAATGCATTTGCACCCCCAGGTCTCTTTGTTTAACAACACTCCCCAGGGCCCCACCATTAACTGTATAAGTCCTGCCCTGGTTTGCCTTACTCAAAGGCAACATCTCACATTTATCTAAATTAAACTCCACCTGCCACTCCTCAGCCCATTGGCCCACCTGATCTAGGTCACATTGTACTCTGGAGATAATCTTTTTCACTGTCCACAACACCACTTATTTTGGTGTCAGCTGCAAACTTATTAACCATGCTTTCTATATTGACATCCAAATATTTATATAAATGACAAAAAGCAGTGGACCCAGCACCATTCCTTGTGGCACACTGCTGGTCACAGGCCTCTCGTCTAAAAAGCAACCATCTAACACCACCCTCTGTCGCCTACCTTTAAGCCAATTTTGTATCCAATTGGCTAGCCCCCTGGATCCCATGTGATCTAACCTTACTAACCAGTCTACCATGCAAAATCTTGGTGCATGCTTTGCTGAAGTTCATATAGACAACGTCTGCCGCTTTGCCTTCATCAATCTTCTTTGTCACCTCTTCAAAAAACTCAATCAAGTCATTTCTTTAGATAGTAGACATTATCTGTCAACCAAATCTTTTTGTGCATTTTCCCAATTCCCAAATTCAACTTGCCCAACTTGCCTTCATAGTTTTCTTCCCTTGTTTAGACTTAAGACCCTATTTTGAGAATGAACTGTATCACACTCAAACTTAATAAAGTAACATAAAAATAGAAAAATACCAAATATTACACGTAGCATTTGTAATGTATTAGGTGGACTTTTAAAAGTAACTAATATTATAATTACAAGTCAAATATTACACAGGATTACCAACCTGCAAATAAAACCTCACCACATCGGATAGGCTTACGAGGTCTTGTCCTTGGACCTTGCATTAGGGGTCGTTCTTGTGGTAAAAGCAAATAATTTTTGGCTTCATCCACAAGGTCTCTGTGTGAATACAACACAAAAATTAAAACATTTCTATGCTAACAGATAACAACTTGCAATTATAGTGCCTTTACTTTAACAACACTTAATCACAACAGATCACCAGAAGTTTTAAGGCTCATCTTAAAAAAGGAAAGCACAGTGGAGAAGTGAAGGATTTAACAGAGCAAATTCCCAAGTCTAGGGCCAAGACAGTTAAAAGCACAGCAGCCAATTGTTTACCAATTGGAAATCAGATGTGCATGGGGCAAGTATTGGATAATCTTTGATATCATGAAGGACTCCCATGCTGTGTCCTATTTCAGAAAGCCATGTGGTGAAGTGTAGGACTAGAGCTAAGTTTTTAACATTTTGTTATTTATTTACAGAGTGACACATAATAAACATACACCTCCTAAATGAACACTCACAATTTTAGTCTGTGTCTATTCGTGAAGGCTCAAGCAAATGCCCAGTTAATATCTACCTCTTGCATAGAATTTCACACAATTTAAGTTAAAACAAGCTAGAGGAAGTTACAGAGATCGGGAGATACAAATCCATGTAGGGCCTTGATAATGACAAGGATGTCTTTAACATCTTTAACATTAGGGGAGGTGATGATCACTGGACTATTAATCCAGAGACCCAGTTAATGTTCTGGGGACCTGGGTTCAAATCCCACCATGGCAGATGGTGGAATCTGAATTCAATACATGTCTGGAATTAAGAGTTTAATGATGACCATGAATCCATTGTCAATATTCGGGAAAAACCCATCTGGTTCACTAATGTCCTTTAGGGAACGTAACTGCCACCCTTACCCGGTCTGGCCTATGTGTGACTCCAGACCCACAACAATGTGGTTGACTCTTAACTACCCTCTAAGCAATTAGGGATGGGCAATAAACGCTGCCTAGCCAGCAACACCCTCATCCCATGAATGAATAAAGAAGACAAAAAAAAAGCACTGAAGCACTGACAGGCTGATAACCATTTTGGAACAGCAGCAAGAGAGCTGAAGGGGAATAAGAGTTGAAGTGGATGGAGATCAACAGAATAAGATTAGCAAGCATGAGAGCTTTGGATGGGCACAATTTCATATGGATCAAAGATGGGGGTAAGCCAGGACAGCACTTCAAGAGCAAAATCTAGAGCTAACAAAGGCACAAACAATGGATTCTACAACTGATGAGTGTAATGATGTTACCAAGGTAAAGGTAGGCAATCTGTGAGGTGGAATCAATGTGTGGTTGGAAGCTCATCTTGGGATCAAACTCAGTACCATGGTTATAAATAGTCTAGCTCAGTTCAAAAAATTGTAAAGGGTAGAGTCAGTGACCAAGTTTCAGAGTTTCTGTTGGGGATCAAAGAAATTGGCTTCAACTGTACTTCTTATAATTAGAAAGAAGGAATTTCTACACGTCTAATATTAGATGTTGGACAAGAAGAGTGATAAATTGGAGATGGTGGAGTGCTGCAGAGAAGCACTGGAGGGATACAGCTGTCAGCATACACGTGGAACATGATGTCGTGTTTTCCTACCACAGTGGGGTAGAATTTATGCAAAATAAGAGGAGGTCAGAAGTCATCCTTCGGGACTCCATCTATAAATATACAGCAGTGGGATGCCGCAGAGGGTTGACCTTGATGTGAAAGAAGACGGGGTCATGATTAATACTTGAGGACTCTAGACATAAACATACAGTAGCAAGAAGATAAGCCATTGCATTTGATACTTCGGCTACAATTCAATAGGTAAGAACGGATCCAAGCAAGAGCCATATACTAAAGTGGAGAATGGAGAAAATCATTTGAGGAGCACAGAATGATCAACAATGCCAAAGACTTCAGATAGGTCAAGAATAATGACCAAGGCTAGTTTATTATAATGGTAGTCATAAACAAAATCAGCTATGACCTTGATACAAGTTGTTTTAGTACTGTAAGCAAGCCTGGAAATCGAAAAGAGGGATTAAGAAAAGGATTTTAAGAGGTGATAGCACGTTCAAACACTTTGAATGGGAACGAAGTTTGGAGATCAGGTGGCAAGGATAGAGGTATTAAGGGAGGGTTTTTTCTTCTAAGAAAGGATTAATGACATGAGATTCGAAGAATGTGAGTGTAAATTGGCTATCTTGCAGTCCAGGCACGGAAGCTGGAAGGACGGTAGTTTGTTCCAAATAGGATCGAGGGAGCAGGAGGTGAATCTCATGGACAAGATGGGCTTAGAGAGACAACAGCATAAATAATAGACAAACATGCAAACTCAGAATTTGAATATTGATGCACGGTCCTTTGTTTAAAGGAAAGCATGGTTAGCTGGTTATTTAACACATACCTCTCAGAGGATGAACCTATATCACCTTAAACCTGTGAAAGTTCATAAGACCGTAAGACGTAGGAGTAGAAGCCCATTGAGTCTGTTCCACCATTCAGTGAGATTATAGCTGATCTGAATTCTCAACTCCACTTTCCCGCCTTCTCCTCATAACCCTTGATTCCCTTACTGATTAAAAATCTGTCTGTCTCAGCTTTGAGTATACTTAACAACCCAGCATCAATAGATCTCTGCAGAAACGAATTTCACAAATTCACTACCCTCTGAAAATAGAAATTTCTCTTCATCTCAATCTCAGATGTGTGACGCCTTATTCTGAGATTATGCCCTCTGGTTGTAGACTCTCCCACAATGGGAAACAACTTTGTTACATCTACACCGTCAAGTCCCCTAAGAATCTTGTGTCTTTCAATAAGCTTGCCTCTGATTCTTCTAAATTCTAATGAGAACAGGCCTAAGCTGGTAGGTAACATAGTCAGTGCACCTCCGGTGAAGCATCGGTGTTCTGTCTCGCTTGTTAGTTATATGCCTCAGTTTGCTGAGGTGGTTGATATTAGTTCCAGTTTTGTTTCTCAGTGATTTGTACACAGGGTCTAATTCACTGTGTTTGTTGATGGAGTTCAAGTTGGTATACCAGGCTCCAGGAATTCCCTGGCATATCTCTGTTTGGCTTGTGCAATTATGAATGTGTTGTCCCAGTCAAATTGGTGTCCCTCGTTGACTGTGTGTAGTGAGGTAAGTGAGAATTGGTCGTGTCTCTTGGTAGCTGATTGGTGTTCATGTATCGTATAGTTAATTTTCTTCCAGTTTGGCCTATGTGGTATTTCTCACAGTCCTTGCATGGTATTTTGTATATTACCCCAGCTTTGCTGGTTTTGGGTATATTAACCTCTCCTGTGACTAAAGAGGACAAAAAATTTCATCCAAGGCCTCAGCAATGTCCTAATCCGTCTGCCTCAGCATTTTGGGATAGATCGCATTATTCCTGGGGTCTTGTCTATCTTAATGCTTTTTAAAATACCCAATGTAGTGATTGTATAAAGGTCAGCCAGGTGGATCTCACAGAATACGAGTTCCCTGATTGGATCAGATTAACAGCCCCAATCAGGCTGACAGATAAAAACAGAAGTGCCAGACATCCTGTCACTCAGAGCTGGCTCTGAGGAAGCTGAAATAGTGTCAAAGACTTTATACATGTAAACAAAGGGTGACTTGGTGACAGGATACCAGCCTCTGTGGAGTTATTTCACCCAACACCTTTGTTTTTTAAAATGTTGGCATGCCTCAGAACATCAACATACCCTTCCTGAAACTCACCATCCACCATGTTTTTTTCCCATTGTGACTGCCAATGCAAAGTATTCATTAAGGACCTCACCCACTTCCTCCAGCTCCACACATATATTCTCTCCTTTGTCCTTGAGTGGACCTACCATTTCCCTAGTTACCCTCTTGCTGCTTACACATGCATAAAATGCCTTGGGATTTTGCTTAATCCTGTTTGCCAAAGACATTGCATTGTCCCTTTCAGCCCTCCTTATTCCTTGTTTGAGTTCTTTTCTTCCATCTCTGTATTCTTCTTGGGCTCTGTCTGTCTTGTTTCTTAAACCTTGTGTATGCCTCCTTTTTTGTTTTGACTAAACTCTCAATATCTCCTGTCATCCAAGGTTCCTAAGTCTTGCCATCGTTACCTTTCATTTTCACAGGAACATGCTGGCCCTGAACTCTAATTAAGCAGCCTTTAAGAGATTCCCAAATGCTAGATGTGGATTTACCCTCAAAAAGCCACACCCAATCTACATTCCTCAGTTCCTGCCTAATATTTTTGTAGTTAACCTTCTCCCAATTTATTACTTCCACCTGAGGGCTACACTTATCCTTGTCCATAGGCAAGTTAAAAATTACAGAATTATGGTCACTGTTCCTGAAACGCTCCTCCACTGAAACTTCAATCACCTAGCTGGGCTCATTCTCAGATCTGGTATGGGCCCCTTCCCTAGTTGGATTATTTGCATATTGTTTCAGAAATAAACATCCTGGACACATCTAACAAATTCCACCCCATCAAAGCCCCTGGCACTAAGCGAGTCCCAGTCAATATAGAGCAAGTTAAAATCACACACCACAACAACCCTATTGTTTTTGATATTTTTTCATAATCTGTCCACATATCTGTTTCTCTATCACCCAGTGGCTTTTGGGAGGCCTGTAGTACAATCATATCAAAATGACTGCACTCTTCCTATTCCTGAGCTCTACCCATATGGCCTTGCTGGATAAGTCCTTCAAGATGTCTTCCCTCAGTATAACTGTGATATTCTCCCTAATTGGTAACTCAACTCCTCCATCTCTTTCACATCCCTCTCTCTCTTGCCTAAAATATCAAAATCCCAGAACGTTAAGCTGCCAGTCTTGTCCCGTTCTCAACCAAGTCTGTAATAGCTACAACATTATAGTTATATGTATTAATCTAAACTCTAAACTTATCTGCCTTACCGGTCATAAAAATAAATACACTTCAGACTGCAAGTCCTGCAGTGTTCAGAAACCTCTCCCTGTTGGTTCTTCCTGTTAGTGTTACTTGCCTTAGACTCTGATTTCTCTTTGGTCATTTTATTTGCTGACCCAGTGCTCTGCTTCCTGCCCCCCTGCCACCATAGTTTAAATCTCCCAACTGCCA